CTCTCTTTTCTTTTTATTCTCTCGCTCTATCGCTATCTGTCAATTCTCGGAGATCACAATGTAACGCAACGAAAATGCGTTGGTCGACGAAACGTTCTTTCACGTGGTTTTACACGCCTGTTTAGGGCCAGCCCTTCCTCATCGTTAAATCATCTCCTCACACTCATCCGCAATTGCGTCTTTTCTCGATTCGATATCTAGACATTGAATATATATCGAAAGATCAGACGCTTCGTACATGTATCAATATCGTCCGTTCAACGATATCATATATCATGGTTGTTAATTCTCCCAAATCTTGACGCATAACACTGTTTAATTTCTTTAAATCGACACAATCGTAAGCAATCGATTTCGCCGATTCGATGCAACTCAAGTTGCTTCGACGAATCGCACAACTTCGACAAAATATACAGCTCTATATATATATATGCAATAATAGTTAAGTATAATCGAGAAATATACACAGCGCGTCCTAGCGCTTCATCTGTCAAAATCCTCCAAAATGTATTTCGTAGTCGAAATGTATGTCATTGAAATTTTATTTGAAATTTTGCCCGTTGAACAATTCTCATTTCCCCTTAACTATTATTGCATCATACTCAACGAGCACACAGTTCAATCGCTTTACTTCGATATTTCTAGTATTCTTCATAGTATTGGACCGGTCCTGCCGAAAATATTCGCCACTAAAAAGTATTATTCTTGTCTCCTCTGTCTTTCGTTTTTTTTGTACACAAAAGAGCAATCGGCTCGGATAAACGACACGCTGCATTTTTCCTCGATAAAAAAAATTAAATTAAACTTTAAAAAATACCAAGTTCTGATAACAATCGTTCGTAATATTGACTCCGTCGAAATGCATGTCCCACTTTTGTTACCTTTTCGATTTAGCTAGCTTTCCTTGTTAAGTGATAGATGTTTATTGATGTAAATTGAAATTTATTATAATAAAATTCGTAAAAATCTCAAAGAATTTAAATTCTGATGTTGGACATGACTAGAATGGGGGGGGGGGGGGGGGAGAGCTATGTGTGTTATTTTTTTTTATATATTTATATTAAAAAGTTCTATATATTAGAAAGTAAATTTTTTAACGAATTAAAATTAAATTTCTTTTTATTCGGAGATAACATTATGAGAAATGGATTCGCAGAGTCGAAATACTTAGAGTTTATTGGCATTTTATCAGGTTTAATTCAAGTTTATTAGCTTGTAATTCGTCAATCTTCTTCATGTTATTAATAAAAATGTATTTGTGATTTTTGCTAGTATGAAATGACAATAAGATTCTCTCCAATTCTTACAGTATTTCCGAAATATTCGAGATTGTTTTCAGGATCGTTCAAAAGCTCATTCTCCTTCGAATATTTTTTATCTGAAGAATTTCTATAAAAACATATAGTGTCGATCAAAATTTATTCACGACTCGACGATAAAATATCGGCACAAATTAAATGTTAAAAAACTTTTATTTTATAAAAATTTCATTACACAGTTCACAAATATTAAAAAATTTATCATATATTTGGATAACAAATCACGTGTGAATATTATTACAGAAATGATCTTTTCATTTGCAAAATTGTTATCAAATAAAATCTTGTCTATCCCTGTACTTTCACGTCATACTTATTATGCGATATCTCAGACTTTTGGTCGACACTATGTGATCTAAAGTATATTTTGATTTACGAAACGTTATTAAATTATTAACGCTAATAAACAAATATGTTAAAAAACTTCGTTGTGAATTAAATGGAAAATAAATTATGCTAAAATTTCTTCGTGCACGCGCGAAAAAAAAACCGTAAACGACGAAGAAATATCGTAAATAACTTGAGAAAGAAATATCGCAAAGTTGGATGGAAAATATATCGCACGAGATTACTTTGCTAGGCACAAACTCGTAAAAAAAAGTTTCTGATATCGACGAAAAATAGCGCATTGTATTATTCCGTCTTAGAAAAGACGAAATAAATTTTAGTAGAATTTTCCTGCCATATATATTATACCAGAGAAAGAACGCGGTAAATTTGATGAAAAAAATATCACGCATTTTTATTACCACAAATATTACTACATATAAGGCGAAGCACACGTCAGCAGCACGTGCGCACAAATTTAAAAAAGATATACGAAGCTCGATCGCGTTATTTTTTTCTTTTTCGCAATTTAGAATAAAAGTTGTTTTAGGCGCATAATCGACGCGTCTATCAAAAATATTAAGAACCAATTTATACACTTACATTTTCGAGACGGTCGTATATTCCGAATCGCAACTATCATCACGCGATCTATCTCCGGAAGTACAATTCGATGTTGTTCATCGATCAAACGGATCTTTTGATCTTGCGCTTCAATTCGGCGACTCGACTCAATCGATCGACTCTTCGAATCCCGTGGGATCAAGGATCGCACTTGTGTGTGGCTGCTCGACATCTTTTGCGCGAATCTCCTCAAAGAAACTCGCAATTGACGAGATTCGCGCAAACATGTGATTTATATATAATATGACACTTCATATAATATATATATATATGTGTATGTATATATAATATGTGTATGTATATGTATATATACGCGTACGTATATATTATAAATAATTAATTAAAGGTTTGCTTTGAAAGTAAGTAAAAATATATATAGATATATATACTCGTATATATATATTTTTTTCGTTTTCCTCTTTTCTCTTTGTTTCATATCTGCACCATATATATTTCTCGACGAAATGCATATCGCATCTATATAATATATATATATATATATATATATATATATATGTATAGCTTTGTTTATATCTCGCATATATATATATATCTACTTTGTGTGTGTGTGTCACTGTGTGGATTTACATGTTGCACCATGCGCATATCTGTATAAATGTGATCTTTTTTCTCACTGACAATGAGAGAAAGCAACGATGAGTGCGACTCATGATAGATTTCGAGACACAAATGCTAATGCATTATTATATTTAATTCGAGTTTTTCTTGTTTTACGTACCATTAAAAATTCGTATGCTCGCAAAATATAAAATTAAGAAAAGATAAAAAAATTAATAAAGCTCTGTTGAAAATACTAAAATTGCTCAATTTAAAACTTTGATAATATTTTAATATTTCTCGTGTTTAAAACATATATTTTCGTAAAATTGTTAAACTGAAATAAACTCAAGATTATATAATATTAAACTTTATATACAAATATGGTTGTTTTTAAGATTTTTATCTGTAAAATTTATAAAAACGGAGCAATTCTCTTTTTCATTAAACTCATTTTTTATATTAAGAATTTCGTGAAGCTATACAAATGTATAACACACTAATATAACACATATAAAATATTTATATATTACTTTTAATTTTTTATTATTTATATAATTATTTTTTTTTATTATGACATAATATTATGAGGATATAACAGTGAATCGCATCACCAAAGATTTTATCGCGAGTCGTACTCGTCGGTCATAATATTTTTATATAACTTGTCCTTTATATAAGTTGCCTATCATCGTCGTATCGTTTCCTTTTGCCAGGAGAGTAATCACTTTCATTAGAAGACCATAAAGAACTGTCTCATCTCGCTTCACAAAAGGACTCGATAAGTTTCTCACTTTTCTCACTACTGTCTTACTATTGTCCATCATGCGTAAGGCTTCATCACCGAGAGAGACGTCCATTTGCCTTACAATAAAAAAATTAAGATAATTCTTTCTAAAAACTTAACGACATGATTATCTTGACTTTGATATGTTGCAAAGGATTCTTACAATAATTTATTGAGTAACATGTATAATTACGTGTAGAATAAGTACGTAGAAATATTCAATAAATAAATAAATTTCAGTTTAAAAGCATGACAAAAGAAACATAAAATCTTTGTATTTCTACTTTTTTTTGTATAATACATACAAAATAATATTCTAAAATTTTCGATCTTAATTATAATTATATATCTTTTTCCTTCAAGTATTTCGGAAACTATAAGAGAACGCTATTTAAATTTAAATATTTATTTCTAAATTGCTCAGGAATGAAGTCTCTACAACATATGTTCAAAACCAAAGTAATTTACAATAAGTTTTTATAAAGATTTATCGAATTAAAATTCCAACACTCACAAGGTTCATCAAATCAAAATGATGGTGAACCCATTTTTCAAGGTACAGTAAAATTAATGTCATCATGCTGTCCTGCTCTTCAGAGAGCGCGATATATACGAAACGGTATAAAATAACAAAAAGCGGACAAGGCTTCGAAGAAGAGAACAACATGACGAGAAAACATGAAAGAAAACGGACGGACGACGACGGACAACGAATTGGACAATCACACAGTACAAGCCAGGCCGCTTGCCTCTCCCCATCTATATTTCGTTTGTATAAAAAGTCTTATACTACCCCTAAGCCTACGTAATCCGAAGCATTCGAAATGAGCAACGAGCCTTTCATTCACCGTTTTTTTCTGTGCAACTTCCGATTGCGATCTCGTCTTTTTCTTTATATTGATTCATCTCGCGCGGCATTCATCGCTCTGCGCTTTTGAAGAAAAACACTTCTCGTCGATCTTTTTCGCTTACTCAAGTAATACGTAAAATATAATGATTGCGGAAGGAACAAATATGTAAAGGTGTATAAAATATTCATATACTTTCATGTAATTGTATTTTATATATGTATATAGTGCAAATCGTATTTTAAATAAAATACTTTAGATTTTGCATCTTTTTTTTTAACGAGGTATTTGGAGCTAAGGCTAGTTATATGATTTTTGATATGTGATGACAATCAAACAACTGCACTTTGCTCCGAACGCGTAATGCACATACGACGTTATATGCGTTGATGCAATCTCTCGATAAAACTTTCTTAATTCGATTTGCGCTTTTTTTTCTAATACAATTAGCAACAGTAATGAATGGAAGGATAAATCAGGATGAAGGATGTATATTGAATAACAGATCAGGATATTTACCCATTCTGACTACCTTCGATACTTATAATAAAATTCATTTATTCAGATCAAATCTTTGTCAACTTGCATTCACGTTAACTCTCCATCAATTATATGGTAGCGCGAGAGGAATTCGAGGACTATCAATCTCACTGAACATGTAAAAGCGTTCCTGATACATTCTCAACATTTACCGACCGCTCTGTAAACATGAGATTTCTCAGGCACGCGCTTGTACATTTATTTTGCTTCGTGATGGTTCAGATCAGGACACAATTGAGAAATAATTGCAAAAGATTATAGAAAAGTAAATGTAAGAAATTAATAACAATAGATAATAAATATTTATCGATGCATACAATAGAATCATAAGGAATACAAATAAATATTCCTACATTGATATTATTTCTTACACTGGAAAAAAATTAGCATTATTCGAGTGTGTTGTCTCTTCAAATGCGTTTTTCTTCACACATTGTTAATATTTTTTAAAATTATGCATTCTTTATTCTAAATTTTTGTTGCGTTCTGATCTTTTCCTCTCATTGTCGCTACCCTTCGAGATCTTTCAAAATCCGAAACAAATCCGCGAGAATAGCGAGAAAGATCGATTCGATGCGTTAATCGTTAATCGCAAGGGTTGAATTTTTGGCGAAAAAAAGCTCACGTACATTCGAGGAAAGAGAAAAGGAGTGTAGAAAAAGAAGAAAACAAAGGCAACGATAAGAAACTAGGGACAAAAGTGATCGGAAACGACAAACGTGATAACTCTTCTCCCCGCTCACAGACAATCTGAAATCACAGATAATATTTATATATTCTTCTTCACCAATCTGCTTATGGCGCAGCCATCCGAAATCTAATGTATAAAAAAAAGCTCTCGATGACGAAACTTCGTCGGGATCCACTGCGGAAAGACGACGAGATATTTCGTTCATTGCCGCGATTAAATACGAAGACTTGACCGCAAAAATCGAGACATTTTTCTTAACGACTTAAACAAATTTTAAATACCATTAGACATTGCAGCAGATAATATAAATTGTTTTTATATAATTTTCATTTATAAAATTAATATATACAGATTATGTATAGCAACATTCAGTTGAAAAGTATAAATGGTCATAGATAGAGATATGACTACCCTGATTATACTTGAACAATGGAATCTACACAAATGAGGCGAATTATCTCGTCGTCAAAACGACGACATGATTCTTGCAAGATTGATGCTTCCGAGCGGATCAATTCTGCGCGATGATGAGCGTCAAAATTAAAAATACATTTTGCCGGAGAACAAAATCGGTGGCGGTAATGTCGCGCCATCATTCCGCTGTAATCTCCGCGTAAACCTTCGACAGGGCTCTCCGCGTTGTGCATATCCTGAGGGAGCATTGGTGACATCTGTCGTTGGTGTTGTTGGTCCTGTTATGTCTCAGAGGTTCCCAAACCTTTTTGGTTTAACAGTTTTTTAAAATTGATACTTTTTTTCGTGTTTGTTCTACATATTGAGATAAGAAAGCATGGGTATGCGATAATCTAATTGCTATTTGTCAAATATTCCGGAAATCCCGACTCTTTTTTGTGCTTCTTTATCTTTATTTACGAAATATGAGCAATTAACTACTTTTTAACTCATTCTCGTATCATTCCTAAATTCTTTAGTAAAAAAATTTGAATATTTAATCATACTTAATCGTTGCTGAAATAAAGACACGATTCATTTTTCCGGAATTATCTTCCAAGTTTTTAATTCGTTGTTAAACATCTCGAATATGGAAGAAAACTTGCTTATCTCTTATTTTTTAGTCTTTTCGGACAAAAACCGTATATATTTTCACGGATGTCGCGACGTGTCGTTTGGAAACCTCTGTGTTAGTCAAAGCGATCGTTACCTATCACGATAACGGGTGTACATCTAATTCTATCGCTAGTAGTTCTTACGATAATTACTGTTATGGCTATTAAACACGTTTCGTCGAAGGTGCTCTGTGTTTTCGTAGACCTCGTAACTTATCTATCTATCGTTCGATGATGATCAAATATCCGGTTGCACGCTTTCGATTGCGCGCTTTTTTATGATGTTGATTCGCGCGAGATATTGTTTCCCCTGACTATGTGCATAATTATTGTACGCGATTTTGGAAAATATTCCCGAACGAAGGAACGTTCTGTTTCGTAGCGGAACATGTTCGAACTCGTCAAGGAAGGCTTATGTGATGCGATCGGATTCGCTGATCGTGTTAACGAATGCTGATGCTTGTTGCAGCAGGATTCGCGTCTACGTATTCGGATTCGATCAAATCCTGATCGCGATGCTAATCAGCATGCCAATATTACGTATGCGGCATGACTAGCTGATTCTCGTGGGGTAGTCGCACAAATGGCAATTGGTTCTGAGTGTAAATATGCAATTGCTTCTGCTGGGATTGCAGCTGCGCGAGCGCCACAGGTGACGCAAACGCGGGATAGGCCAAGGTGGTGGTTAGGCACTCATTGTGCTCCTCTAAGGAGTTCTGGGCATAGTGCAGCACCAAATGTTTCAGGCTCTCGTGAATGTTGTAAGGCTCGGCGAAACCGTAGCCGCGCTCAGTGGCGTATATTATGCAGTGTTGCACCGTGCCGTTGCACCTGTAACAAGGTCATTTCCGAATAAATCATTGTATAAAAACTGCCAAGTCATCTCGATAACAAAATATAATCTTTAATACCGGGTTCCAAGTCACCAAAAAAAATTTATTATTTTATCGATCGCGCGAGATGAAATATCCGATAAATTGGCGCAGAATTAATCTTCGTTTTAAACGATTCTACCAATGTCGATGTGTTATTATCGTGATATTCATGAACGTTTATATTTTTATTTATTTTTATCAATTCGAAACATGATCATTTACGTCAGGTAAGAGACTTACACTATGGAGAGCGCGTACTGGCCCGTTCTTGATCGGCGAACAAGGAAAGTACCGTCCGGTCGATCTTTTAGAACGTGATCGGCATCGGTACGAGAACCCTGCAGATAAAGCCATGTTTTCTCGTCGGAGTGGACCGCGAAGTCCATCTTGTTCTGTTTCATCGCGTTTTTCTTCAAACATCTGTTTCAAATAAAATACGAATAAATTAGATAGATTTTTTAACATAAACGAAATAAAAATAAAATATTTCATACTCAAAAACAGGATACGTACAGAGCATAGCGGTCTCTTTGCCGCGCGAGCTGTCCAGTCTCCACCTTCAACCTGAAAGTTTCTCTCTCGAGGGTCCTGCTGTAAGCAACCTGTTGCTTCACGCTCTCCTCCAATTGTTCCTTGCTGTCTTCCAAGGCCTTTAGTCTTCGTTTCAGCAACTCCGAATTGTCCATTAAACTGCAATTATTCAGCGCGAAATTAATAATTTCCAATTTTAATATGCACGTCATCAGGATTTCATATATATAATCATGCTTTTTATAAACTCTATTATTTTACATATTATCTTTATCAATATGTTCTCAGTGGAATATATAAATTAGAATAAAATATAAAAGTGACAGAAGAACAAAATACTTACGTGGAAATCTCGTGAGGCTGGGCTTCCTTCCGGAACTTCTCTTGTAATTTGATTTGTTCTTCAAATATCTTGATAGCTTCCGTGAAGGCTTCCAATGCTTGACGCTTCAGATCAACTTCGTAAGTAGTTCTGTTATATAAATCCCAACAATTCTGGTACTGCCGGATACCGTCGTTTACTTCCTTCTCTAGTTCAACATATTTCTGCAGGATCTTTGTCATATCGGTCGCATTCGCGAATTCATCTTCCTGTTTTTCGACAAATAATAGAAAATTAGGTCCAAACATGATTATAATAAAGCTATCATCTTGTAAATCCATTAGAAAGGAACATAACCAAATTAGGAAAATTATGTGGTTTCAAACCAATCCCAATAATCGTCATGAAACATTACACAGATATAGTATAATATAAAATATGAAAAAATGTAACCAACCTATATCTGTGTCACGTTTCATAACGATTGGCTTTGTACCACAAAATTTTCCCAATTTGATATACTCCCTACCTGAACATGCTGATTTCGCGATATTGGGTAGAGCAGTTTAATGTCCAACACGGAGTTGTACTGCGCAAGGGAGCAGTTCCTGTAGTAATCGACCAACTCGATTACCGAATTGAAATTGTAAGGATCCGAGAATCCATATTTCCCATTTCGATGGCTGATCTTGATAAGTTTATTGGTCCCACCCTTACGCAGTGTCAGAGTGTACTCGCCACACTTGGAAGACGCGTTGCGTACCAGAAAGGTACCATCCGCTGCATCAATCATCATGTCGTTTACATCGTCCCTCGTGATGTTACCCCAGTACCATTCAGCATCTTGAAGCGAGCGCGGCAGCCTGTGATTTTTTCAATATAATATAGTTATAATTATTTGTACACTTAATGTAATTATATATAATATAAAAATAAGCAATTTATAAATGTATACATATAATTAGATATGTATAGCATTAAAATAAATTAAGAGAAAGATTCGAATTAAAATTCAATGTAAAATTGGAACGAGAAAGAAAAAAATTTGCAATTTAGATTAAGATTTGGACCGACATCAAAATCAGACTTGAGAATCACCTGTGCGATTGTTGGTCCTTGCCAGTATCTGCGCCAGGTGCCGTTCTGTCTGCGGCATCGTCCTCGGGAACCGGGAACGAGTCCACAATTGGAAACTGCGGTCTCGAAACTTTACGCGGGGGCAATTGAGGGGGACTGGCAAACTCCGGCAGCCTCTCGTTCCAATTACCGTGCAACAGCAGCATTTCCGTTATGCGTATATGTGCCTCCGTGTTGTGAACAATTTGACTGTAATAAAATATGCGCAATGCAACGTGCTCAATTCTTCGTAATTAGGTATTATAAGTGGTCATTGAATAATCTTATTTATTAATAGCAGCACAACAAATTGCGTAAAATCAATCAATTTTTTCTCGTAATCTACTATAGTATATCATTATATAATAGTATTATGTATCATAAAAGTAATCAGTTATACAATATATATTAAATGACTTTTTTGCAAGAGAATTTAAATAACACAATGCCAGCGAGCTAGAAAGTTGAACTCTTTTAACTTAATTAAAAAGTCAACGCGAGGCGGAAAGCGAACTAATACCAGCATCCATGAGATATATTTTTTTATCGTCGCCAGAAAAAAAACATCGTGTGAACCATGCTTTACTCTACTCTGAATCCTCCTACTACAATTGAAGAAATTCACGTGACACTCACATGACTCGCTCCCAGGGCGGCCTGAGAAATATATGGCTGAGCACTTGCACGAGGATGGTCGGCGGTTCCGTGTAGCCCCTTCCGTGCTGCAATCGGCAGATGCGACAGAAATGTGCCATCAAATGGCACAATGTGCTACGATGATGCTCCGGTAGCTCAGCTACTAATTGATTGAGGCGCATCGCGCATTGCTCGTCGTTTTTCATGTCTAAGCAATGAAAAATTAATTCGAACATTTGCAATCAATGTTAACAAAATATTTAAAATTAATATTATTTATATTTATTTAAATATTTAATGTTTAATTTTAGCTGTCCCTACACAGAGAGAATCTTCTCTTAGAATTTACCCTGAAAATCATGGTAATGATGGGACAATATGGTACTAGAAGAATTTTATAAGAGTTTCTCTGATTAATATTTCCCACAATAAAAAATATTAATATTTACTACAATAAGATAAAATATATTATATTAATTTTACATCTTATTGTAGTAGATATTAACATATTTTATCGTGGTAAATATTAATCAGAGAAACTCTTATAAAATTTTTCTTATTGCCCCACAATTACCATGATTTTCAGGGTAAATTCTAAGAGAAAATTTTCTCCGTGTATATTATACATAAAATTTAATTATTATACCTAAATTTTAGCTATGATAGCTAATATTTTAATTATAAAATTCTCCATTAAACTATAGCTAAAAATATTAGTTATCATAGCTAAAATTTAGACACAATAACTGAATTTCAGGTTGCAAATATAGGGACAGCTAAAATTTAGCTATGGTGGCTAATTTTTTTCCGTGTATGTGTATATACTCACTTGACGCCTCTAGGAATCTGTCGTACCATTGTACAGGGATCACCGAATCCGGCAATTCTCGCAGGAACTTCTTCAGGACACTCGCAATACACTGCGGAGTGTACGGATTTAAATCCGCTTTGCAGACATCTGAAAATATTATATCACGTGTGTCTCGTTTTGATCGTCGCTCGAGATTATTGGTACCTATCTCTAATCATAACAATATTACGTGTTAATGATTAATTATAACGCGCACGAAAATTTTAAACGGGAATTTTTTCGATTATAAAAGTTTCGTTCATTTCCTCGAGGCATCTAGATGATTCTTTCTGTTTTGCAAATTGTTCATTAATTTTTCGCGCAACAAAATTTTACACGTTAAACAGTTTGATTGTATGTGTACAGAAAAAAGTATAAAGGTTGTATTTGTTTTAGATATATTAAAATAATTATTACAAACGATTAAAATTGAGAAATTTGCAATTCTCAGAAAGCGCTCAGCTAATTTTAGCCGACAAAATAATTCAGCGCGTGCTGAAACGTGATAAAACAACCAAGTGCGGCGTCAAATCCAGATCTAGGATCAATATATACGAATGCACGTACATAGATGCAGAGATAGGTATAAATAGCAGTAGTATATCTTTCTCAGGAAATGTGGCAAACTAACTTAACACTTTGAAAACAACTGATTCGTGCACTTTGCGCACGAGAAGTTAAAATTAAAGTTTTCGACGGTACGCACGAGTGAAATATTTTCCGCATATAAAAACGCGGATCTTCGCCTTGTTTAAAAGCCCCGAAAAGAAAGAAAGAGGGTCCCGAAATTCGTTTCGCGCTCGTTTGTTGCCCCTGAAATCTCGATCCGTCGTGCAAAATAAACGGGGCGCACTCGCACAGTTTTTCTATTCTTTTTTTTCCTTTTTCGTCGCTATCAGGCCCTCCGCAACGCAACCCGAACGAAGTGCATCTGGTGGCGCGCCTCGAAATTTTTGCAACCTAACGAGAACATCGGTGAAACTCGACTCTGGGCTATTTATAGCACGATCCGGCCTTACCTTCGGTCAGCTTTTGTCGCAGCTCGAGGATCTGCTCGATAGGCGGGCTGCTGTGGTAAACTTTGTACAGGTCCAGCGCCGGGTCGGCGCACGCCTGCTCCTCGAGGGTGCGGGTGCACCGCTCCACCAGAATCGGCGCCACTTGGCTGACGGTGTCGAATTGCAGGCATAGCGCGAGGCCGAACACTGCAAACGTGATAAATACCGGCATACTGTTTGGTTCGACAAACTTCGGAGGTGGACCCAGCCCGAAATTCCACGCCCGAACTCGTACAATTGCGCCGGTCGGAGATTTTTTTAAAATCGCGCCACGGAAAAAAATTAACTACCATAGCTAAATTGTAGCTGTCCTCCTACGTTACAACCCGAATTTTAACTATGGTAACTAATATTTTTTTTAGCTACAGTTTAATGGAGACTGCTGAAGTGTAACGCATTAAAAATGCGTTTCTCGAGCAACAAATTAGTTATTATAGCAAAATTTTAACTGTCCCTATATTAAACACAATATTTAAGCATGATGACTAAATATCATGTTTAATATAAAGACAGCTAAAATTTAGCTATAATAGCTAATTTCTAAAATTAGTACTAAAAACTTTTGAAAAAAAATTATACGTGCGATATTAGATCTGTCAACTTTTTTTCACAGCATTGTAAAATGTAATTTAAATCTTAATTCTTAACCGAACTTAAATCTTGACCGGGCAACTAATTAGAGAATGAACGTATATTTTGTAATCGCATGTTTTTCAATCCTTTATCGAATATGTTTAATCAGAGGAAAAGATAGAGCAGCGTAAAGATATGTATGCTTATTACACAGTACGAAATCAATGATTTTATTTGTTAGATCAAAATGTTTGATCGTATCTAATCTGATTTTATTCGATATCTTATTCAATTTTTTTTATAAAGAAAGCAAACAATTTTAATGTAAAACAATAGAGAATATGTTAAATCACTGAAATATAAAATTCTAGACAAAGTGTAATGAACATACCTCATCAAATTAAATGTCTAATATTATCGGTTGCTAGAATGCATATGTGACTTTTTTCTACTTAAAAAAAAATAATCAATTGTATCGGAAGATATCTTATCTCATTATTAGTTCCATAGCTATTTCCTGAACCTCCTATTTCCGGAACCTCTTATCCGGAACCTATTTAAAAAATCAAGAATTTCTGTCAACATTAAGTAGTTTGAATCAATTTAAAATTATAAGAATACGTAGACTTCTGGTAGTCACAAATTACTTTTTTTTGCTCTTTGATCTCCACTTTTGGTCGCAAACTGATTTAAAAACATGTTGAAACAAAGTCCTAAAATTTTCAAGTTTGTCCTTTATTTTCAGAAAATATGGTCACCATAAACATGACCCTTTCATCTATTTAATTAAAGCTTAAATCATCCAGTCCCTTTGTCAGATTAAAGTCTGCAAAACTCTATCAATCGTGGAAGGATGCAGTAGCTGGATAAAGCAAGAACGCAATGCTTCTCGCTTGTCTTTTCATTTCCGAGACAACGAGCTAGCTGGAGCCGTAAAATTCGGCGAGGTGACAAAGCGAAATGGCAGCGGAATTGTGTAATCCACCGCGGCCGCCCGAAGAATTCTTGAAGGTTTTCTCGCGGTTTCTCGCAGATTTTCGCGCCGGTGAACTTCTCGCCTGTGGCCATCCGTCTTTTCCCTCAATTTTTCCGTTTCTCTTTCTTTCTTCTCCTTCTTTTTTATTTCACCCGACTGACGAACCTTTGACTTTATTTTCGTGCGAAGATATACGCGAGATTATATTTTCAGGCCGCCGATCTCTTTTTTCGCTCCTTCTCTCTCCTTTCTTCGCGAATGACGCGCACACACGCCACTTGTACAATCAAAGAGACACGTACGCATGCATTATGACAAAAGAGAGGACGAGCAAATCGGACCGGAGCGGAGAGAAGCAAAAGGGAGGAGAGCAGGAGGAGGAAAAGGAGGAGAAATTTATTTTTACGACCGCAACGGCGACGTCTTGTTTCTTCATGACCGTATCTTCTTCTTCAGTTCTCTTGGGAAGGACGAGTGACCGAGAGAGAAAGAGAGAACGTAAGAGGGAGAACACGCAAAAAAGTCAGAATTAAAACACGATCTACGGGCGTGAACGTAGGCGCACGCATGCGAATTTTATGCGCGGATGTGCACGAACGGAGGACGGCCATTCCGGCTATTCGATATTCGTCACGAATCCGCTGTTGCACGCGCGAGAAATCTCGAGAGATTTCGTCGGACTCGAATAAATCAATGCGCGAGTAAATACGCTGGAAGACGCTCGTACGAATACCCGAATTTTGCGAGGTGATCCGCGGCTTCCGAAGTTCGGTTTTACGACGTCGATTTCGGATCTCGAATTCTTTAGCAAGACTTTAGTCATTTAGAATCTTCAAATTTCGTCGAGACGAAAAGATCTCAAGAGAATCTCCAAACAATGAATCGAATCTTACACAGACAGAATTTTCTCTTATTTGTCCAATGTGGTATCGGATGAAATTTTTAAGAGTTTCTCTGATTAATATTTACCATAATAAAAAATATTAATATCTATACCACAATAAGATATAAAATATATTCGATTAATTTTAGTATGCACATAATATTTTTATTATGGTATAAATATTAATCAGAGAAATTCTTACAAAATTCACCATGATTTTCAGGGTGAATTCTAAGAGAAAATTTTGATACAGGAAAATGATACAAAATAAAAATTTATCTCTACATCTACGTTGAATTTATAATTAATTATGACAAATAAACGTAACACACTGTAAATGTATGCATTACGAAATGCCTCGGGAGTGAGATGTCAAGCCTTAGCAAATACAATTAAAGATTTAAATTGATTGCTGCGTCATTTTCAATCAACTTTTCAAACGGACAGATGAAATCTGCAGAGAGAGAGAGAGAGAAGAGAGAAAAAAAGAGAGACTGTCAATGTCGAAGTCGCCAGCGTGCGGTCGCACGTGACTCGAATTTTTACTCTCGCGGGAGAGGAGCGTAATTGCTGTCGTTACACCTCCACGTGTGCGTATGTGTGCACGTGTGTATGTGTGTGCAGCTCGGTCGAGAGACGCTGATGACTCGCGTATAAGCGATTAAACGCTACCAATTACTATAAATCAACCGAAGCCGATGCAACAATCGCATATACGTGTGAAACCGCACTGTGTAGAAACCGCACCGGCTGAATCTCCTTCTCTCCGTAAAACGCGAGAGATTAGATCGTTCGCGAACGGGCCACATTTCTTAAGACGAGTCAAAAGGGAAGTTCATTATAAGATCGAAATAACGAAATCAAAGCGTAATCAATATCCTCCTCGCATCCGATAATCTTTCGACTCGCAAAAATGATATATTTATCCCGTTAATATCAGACGAGTTGTATATTATCTAAAAATTGTTATTATTATCGTTAGTCGCGGATCGACATCGCGGATAAATATTATCAGTCGGACGATAATTTCCAGCGATCGATGCATCGAGTCGTGCGATATGTACAAATGCAATTCGCGGGATAAATGAATGAAGGATCACGGGGGGACACGGCCCTGAAGACTGGCGCCGTGTTCGCGGTTTTGCTATGCACAAATATTCAATTCCGTCATTCGTGCCGCGGCGTGTGCAGCGTTAATTAAATGTATCATTGGAGGCGCGCGTTGACGGCGCGAGCGCCGAGTCTCGCCTGCGTTGTCTCTGCCGATTATCGTTGTCTGAGAGATATTCGCGTCGTTTAACTATCTCTCGCTGTCAAAAGCACACATCGCAACTCCAGCCGACTTGAGAAAATAAGCGACGATCGAAAGATACTCGATAGTTATATCGGCGCGACCGGGAGAAAGGAAATCATTAATTATTGCCATATGTTACAAAAATAGACGAATTTTTTTCAAATTTAAATCACACCGAGATATTATAGTTATATAAGAATTGGGAAAAATTGACAAATCTACTGGAGAAAATAACATTACTTAATTTCGAAAATTTAATTCAAAACTCTATCCCTTCGTCGCTGTCTACTTTCTATCGAAAGACGATTGTAAAAATCGTGGTGAAGTAAATTCCAATACGTGATTTCTTTTTCTCGCGGATATTATTTTTCCCCGTGATGCAGGGAATGCGTCGTAGAGCAAGGCAAAGTTTCGTGTTGAAACTTGCACGCTCGGTTAAGAATCATTAAATGCCAGCAAGTGAGGCGACTCCCACGCGGCCGCGACGCGGAGGGATTTCAATGGAAGAAAGTGGACAGCCGTGAAGTGCGAGAGTCCTCCATCAAGTGATCCAGGTTATCATAGAGCGTAGCCAGCAGGCGTCAGGACGGGCGTCCTTGCCGGCGATTTCGCAAGTTTCGACGATCGTCGCCGGACCGGCCGGTTATACGAGCGGCGTTTCTGACGCAACCTCTCATTTTGGACGACAACTGAATTTTTCAGCGCGTCTTTCCGTGTTCTATTCATTGGGGAGAATTAACGAGTATGTTGCATCCTACCTACCTACCTAGGTCGCGCTATAAAATTTGCAACGACGACGACGACGGCGATACAAACGACGTGACTTACCTGAAGTAAACCTGCTGATACAATTGTCCGAGTCGGCCGATATGCAATTGGAAGGCAAACCCGTCGCTGAACACGTCCTGTGAGCGACCAGCCCGCAATCTGCGCAATGCAAAAAAAATCGCAAGATCAACAGCACGAAACGCAGTTTCGTTCTTTTTTTTTCCCTTATTTATTCCAGTTTCGATATTAATAACTGTCAGGCAGGAATAAACTTGAAATTATGAATTGCCGAGTATTTTCGATTTCTACACGGAGAGAATTTTCTCTTAGAATTATTTACTCTGAAAATCATAGTAATCGTAGGACAATATGGTATTGGAAGAATTTCTCTGATTAATATTTGGCACAATAAAAATATTAATAAGTACACAGTAAAACAAATCGAATATATTTTATACCTATCTTATATTGTGGCAGATATTAATATTTTATCATCATGATTTTCAGAGTAAATTCTAAAAAAGTGATCTCCGTGTATATTAATATTAATAAATTTCACAATCCTGATAAAAATTGTCGAAAGTCATAATTATTATTTTATATAGATATCCCCTGAAATTATCGAGAAGAACGTGATTTCATTCGAGGAATTAATTAAATATGCGATAATGTAGATATCTATATAATTTGTGATTATCACGAAAAGCATAGAAATCTAACAAATGTAAAGAATTAAATTGCACGAAGTGAAGCTCTCAATGAAGCTCTTCTCTCCCGTCGATTATAAAATTCAATATCGATTCAAAGTACTCGACGGATTACGATTCAACGGAGAGCTCGATGCTGATAAAGGAGAAAAACGGACGTACCTTGGCAGAGAAAGCCTTGATGTAAGAGGCCTCTGAGGTATTTATGGCATTTGCTGCACTTCTCCAAGACGCTGAAACTGTGCGGCTTGAGATTGTGCGATTTATTGACCACGTTGTTGCCCGGATAGTTGACTCCGAGCGAACAGCCGCCCGATTCCACGGCTACGCCGGATGTCGTGCCGAGTGCCGGGGGCCCCGTCATTTCCGTCGTCACCGTCGACGGTTGGCAGAGTTCCTCGATGCAGACCAAAATATTCTTTTGATGGAATTCATCTTTTATACCCATATTCTGCAACAGAATCGCGCGCAGCGAGGTTTATATGTGTCTGACTGAAAAGTGACACTAGTCTAATCTTTTAAGACGAGCGTTAAGTTTCAGTTTTAATCTTCTGGTGAGATGAGACCACCAAGATCCCCTATAATAAAAAGTCCTTACTAAGCAGTAAACTATTTTAAAAGTGCAATTATAATATAATATTCCATGCAGAGTTAAAATGTAATAACTTTATCAACCGATTTAAATAAATAAACTATTGTAAATTAATAATTAAAATATTATTGAAGAGTATGTTCAACGATTAAACAATTTTTTCTATGCGGTACAAATTTCCATCGGACTACTACAACTCTTTGTAGCAAAAGAATTAATTAGTTTCACGTGTTGTAAAAAAATAAAAAATTAATTAATTTTGTATACAAAAGTTGTAAAAACTTCTGAGAGAATGTAAAAAATATGTTTTTCTAATTTCTCTGTTATAATTTCTTATGGCATTAAATTAAAAAAATTATGTTCATTAAATCAAAATTTTAACCATCCATATTTTAGATTTGTCTACTTATATTATTATATATTAAATATATGTATAATAAATATATTTTACGTAAATAGTTGTAAAATAAAATATTTCGATTTAAATTATAACTTGAAAAAATGATTATTAATAATTATTATCACTTTCTTTAGATATTTATCACGCACTTTCGTAACCTTTGACCGACTTAACGCCACGTGTGCAACAGAAGACGACGAAATCTTTCGGGGCCAATTCCACAGAATTACCGAGTCGAGAAGACTTTTCTATCGCATTACTTCGGTAAAAATGTACACGTATCTCGGGGACGGTTGTAAATCTGTAAGGGTATGACGCGAGCCAAGAGAACGACTATAAAGAGCGAGCGCATAACGCGTGTCAAAGTCGAGCGTGAAGACAGTTACATAGTGACTAATGAGGAAAAATAATACATTTGTCATAAATAGCCCGGGTGCTAACTAGAGTTCAACGTTTCGGAGAGATAGCGGATCAATTAAAATCCATTGGCCCTCTTTTTCACCGACAATTACCTCTTGATCATTGACGAACAGAGTCATTATAGCCCCTAATCTTTAATAACACGTTCATCCAATTATGCGCACGCGCGATTGTCGTAGAATTTTATAAAGATTAAATTTTAATTGCATTATTATTTTTTGGTATAAAAGCTTAAACGTTTCTTTTGTTAACAGATTTTCTTTTAAACATAATTTGTTTGATAGACAGTCGAGCTTCTGTACACAGAAAGAATTTTCTCTTAGATTTTACTTTGAAAAACATGGTAATCGTGGGACAATATGATTAATATTTATCACAATATAAAAAAATATTAATATCTACTACAATAAGATATGAAATGTGTTCGATTAATTTTATTATGTACATAATAATATTTTTGGAAAAACTCTTATAAAATTCTTCCAATACCATGATTTTCAGGGTAAATTCTAAGAGAAAAATCAATTAATATTTTATGTACTATAAAATATACATATTTCATATACCCTACATGTAGTTTACATCTTTTGGATAGCATCTAGCGTGCATATACATACATATAATCCAGTTGAGCAGATGTTCTATATAGTCACAGGCTTTCTGGATTTCGCGATCGGTCGCGATTGTTTTCGCGTTATAAATTATATCGTGCCACCTTCCTTTTCGCAAACGAAACATCGGAAAATATCTACTCCCTGAGAATAGCGATATCGCTGAAAAGAACAAAAAGGGGAGAGATAATTCGCGGGTACCGCGGCGGTAAATCAGTCAAGAGGGACTTTGAAGAGTCGGGAGCACCGCGCTCGTAAAAGGGGTGAACACGGACGATCGTAATTTATACGCGTCGTTACGACCCTCTCTCTTTATTCTCTCTCCCGACAGGCATCTCGTTTTCTCTAGAGCACGGCCGACGGCAACAGGTGTCGGGTATACGCCGTTGCACAATACCTGCACATTGCACTAGCGAAGAGATACAATGCACCCCGCGGTTCGCGAGTTGGCGAGATGCGGATCGCGATCCGCGTAATGGAGATCTTCGAGAGAACCAGAATGTGTCTTTGCCAACCGTTACCATTTTTTTTGCGAATCTCTCTCACGGGACATTTCATATAGTACATGTTAACATGATTACATGGTTCGAATCGATCGATTGTGCGCAGTATTTTAAATATAATCATAAGAAGAAAGAGAAACATACATATTTGTTAATTAAAAATTAAAAATTAAATAACTGTATCGTTGATAAAGAGCTAATGTAAAATTCATAGACCTCAAAGTACAGCTACACATGATTTAAAATTGTTAAATAAAAGTATGATAGGAAATCGTTTATAAAGATGAAATGTCAATGAAAAATTAATAAAATGAATAAAAAAAATCAATGAAAGATTTAAGAAATATATCTATTAACATATATGTATATTTATTAATGTGTCGAGAACATGTGAAATACATGATAAATAGCTAATTGATTATAGGTAAGAATAAAAATGTGACCTTCACACGTGCAAAATGATATGCGTCAATGAGTTGCATATTTGCTACTGGGCGCGCGCTTGATGAGATAATCATTCTACGATGAATCGTGCATTAATCATATTATTTTAATCGATCCATATCGGCCGATTCAATGTCACACGTGCATAGTTCCTTTATTAATTTTGTCTCGATGAATTACTTGATCGCAACTTTCTTTTCTCGCGTCCAATTTAAATTCCTCGCGTTCGCGTTGCTACATTTATTTACGTGCGTGTCGCAAACTTGACCTGAACTGCATTGTTTTTATGTCCTGTCGACGTGACTCACTAAGAAAATTGTATTTTTTTACATTTTTGTTGCAATTTAAAATTTAACGATTCAGTATTGAAGTAAATTTTATTTTAAAATAATTAACGATTTAGTATCTTGAAGTAAACTTCATTTAAAAAATGGTTCGCACATCAATAATTTTTATAATTAATAACACATACAGCACGTATCTTATAATATTAAATATTATAAATTTTAAAAACGTATATTTTCACGTGTATTAAAAGTATATTAAAAGTATTAAAAATTGAGAGAATAATGTATTCTTTTTAAATTCTTACAAGTAAAAATGTAAAAAGGAACACTATACAACAAGTTCTATTTTCGATTAATGTAAGTCTCAGATGAATTTTTTTTAGAAAAGATCTCGCCAATTTTTTTCTCTGAACTTAGCTTTGAACTTTTTACTGGTTCATATTTATTTTATTTATTACATTTCAAATTTATATGTGGCTTATTTCCATAAAGAAAAAAAGTTATATAAAAAGAATTTTTTTTTGCCAGTAGCGAAAATATTAACAGTACGAAGATATCCGTAATCATATAATTTCATTTTATGTACATAGTATTTATAATAGAAAAAAAAAATTAATCGAGCGAGTTTAAGAGATGCGGAGAAAAAAAAGGAGAGGGAGCATTTCCGGCAGCTGGCTTCTTTTTCAGATTATGGTATTCGGTTGTGGGCGCACGTTCTCGTACGATGGCGCGCTATTTCGACCGGCGCCACGGCGCGCAGTGGGGCAAACGCTATTATTAGCGGCGACAAGCCAGCAAAAGTAAAGTGATCGATATATTACGCGGCCGTGCGAGAGCGCGACGATAAAATTTGACGGGCTCGTTATTTTATTCCAAGTGCCAAGAAATGCTCGGCAGAGAATTCGCTGTTTTGCGACAAGGAGAAAATCCGCCCCGAGTGCGGCTACAGCCCCGTATTTTTTTATTGCGTAAAATACGACGTTAAAAAAATATATATATGTGTATTTTTTTAAGAAATAAATTTTATTTTAAAAAATCTATTATTAATGATCTTAATTAAATAACTTGTAGAATGAAACTTTAAAGAAAGAAAGAGAGAAGCATATAATAAATTTTTAATGAAACTGCGAATGAAACAAATCCCTCAATAAAGTAACAGAGAATACTTGATACCTTGAAAACTTGATTTAAGACTGTGATGGAAAAATTAAAGGAGCTCTTGTAGTATTTCTCGTTGCGCAGTCAGAATGGGACAATTTTCTTGAAGGACGAGCTGAATCGGAGAATCAAACGATTTCTCGCGTTAAAAGTAATAGATTTATGAGTCGATTAGCATGGTAATGCACGATTTACGCACGTAGTTTCCTTGGCGCGCATTTTTATTCCGCGAGGAACATGTCGAAATTGAATTTGCGAATTCTCACGGAAAATCTAAAGAATTTAATCGGATAAATTGAAAAATTATGCGGCGATCCATATATACGAAAAAAAATAATAATCCCGAATATTGGTTTCACGATAATCCGATAATATATTTCTACACGGATTATTAATTAGCGAATGATCAGTTCGAGCCTTTCCGTTTGTTCTTAGCCTGATTTTCAGGCGAGAATCTGTCGCGGATCTTTGCAACGTGTTAGCGTTTTAATTTTTTATTATCCGTTCGGAAGCCAATTATCGTGGAAAAACGTAATGCGTAATTACGGTTCGAAGGAACGCCCGTTTTCCCACGACACATATTGGTGCAAGAATACTCGCGCCAACATCGACCGGTGTAATTCGATTGTCCATCTCGACCCGTTACTTCGTGCGCGCGCGAGTTTCTTGCATAATTATGATAATGCGGCGCGTGGTAACGCATAGGGAAAACGCATGCATGATACGATCATTACGCGCAACGTAACTACCTAGAGTTGAGAAAAGCGTAGGAACATATGTTTATATACATATATAATATTGCGCACGAGCTTTTCTCTCTTTTTTCTCTAGTATTGTAAGATGTTTAGAAAAAATGTCAAAAGTCGAAATTTTTATATCGCATCTCGCTATAAAACACGTGTTTGTAGCATTAAATTAAATACTTAAGTTGAATTGGCAACTTGTATTTTTGCAAATTTATCTAAGATGTATCATTATATTGAAACAGTAACGAGAAGAAAAAAATGTAATAAAAACAACATTTAAGATTTACACGCGCGTGCAACAGTTTTATCTACGTTATTGCATCAGTTTAATATAAACGAATTCTTTGGTCATTTGATATAAAATATCGTGTCTCGCAATGAGAAAAAAAAAGCATCTTTACTCTGTGTTTTATAGCTTTGCATTTTATATCTATATCCTCGATGATGTATGTGCGTTTTCATTGCGACAGCGTTTATTTAGCATTTTAGCATGCACATGGCGGGATCATCAAGAAAAAAGAAAAAAAAACCCAACAAAACTTAGTCAGCGATATAAAAAAAAAGTTACGTCTCGTACGATGAAACCACTTTTACGATACATTTTGTAGCATTTCGTTTTACGTTGCGCGCTAGCGATCTCTGCCTACGCTTTCAAGACCGCAACATTTATCTAATATTGTTTCAGCGTTATCAATTGCAAGATGTATATTTCGTATCTTATCCTCTAAAGGTTAAAAAATTTTTTTTAACTCTTGGATGTTCAATATATGTATATTTTATATATTACAAATATCGTATAATGATATTGGAAGAAACTTACGTTTTTTAATATTTGATTATCTATATATAAAATTTTTTTTAACACACGCAGAGGATTTGAGAATCTTCGTTTTTACGTCGCTAAATTTTTCGATGCATACATTACGGAATAATAATAGCTTACGTGATAACAAAACGTATCGGCACCTATGCTTAGAACACTGAAACCACGTGGAGTTATAAAGAACATTATCGCGATATATTTCGCGGCGCGGTAAATTATGCATTTTACATTTTCATGCACTACGCAGTAATTCTACCGCAATGTTTCGCACTGATAGCGATACAGAAAGCGCCTGCGATCGCATTAAATTAGACGTATTGCATTAAATTAGAATTGAAGTAGATGTGTGGTAATAGGATCGCGACAGATGTTCAAAAATCGTGTCGGCCGATCCTGTCTGCCTCTTCTCGTCGAATTGCTATTAAGAAGACATTAAGAGAAAAAAAAGCAAGAAAAAAAACGCGATAAGTGCATCATAGGGAGTGATGCGCCGATAAAAATGATCTCATTAAATCCAGCCCCTTTCCATTTGTATATGTATGTCTCGATTTTACGTGTTAGACTTTACAATATAGCAGATATATATTCAGAATCGCTAAATATGTAATGCTGCTTATAAGATAAGTCAAATACGAAGCTTTCTTTGCGCAGCGACAAGAAGAGAATCGCCGAGCCGAAAGCTCCGAATCGCTTCGTGCTCGACGATAAAGAAAAATCAGCGCTGAACGGATGGAAGAAAGAGATGTGTATAGAGAGAGAGAAAGAGAGGGAGATTCGATAAAGACTCGACTGTGTGGCGCACTGTGTGGCAGACGCTACAGGGCAATTACAAGGTCAACGGGCCAAGGAAAACGTCGTCCAGATACTCTCGACTCGAGGTCATCGTCTCTCCCGAACACTAGCCAAAGAATTTTTTGATCGCGCGATTCCGACTTCGATCCCGACACGAGCCGAAACGTGCAAAAAGCACTAATGATCCGAGAGAAAAAAAAATCTTCCCTCACAATATTTATAATAAAAATTTTTTTCTTATTTTAATCTGGTGTTTTATTTCGAAATTTTGAGTTACGTGTTCTAATATAGCGTGAAGATGTGAAAATATCTTCTAATAATATATTCAGAATCGTCTGAATAATGTAAAAGTCGGAAAAAATATGTAAATGTGAAAATTTTTGCCATGCAATTTTTAGACAGGTCGAAGAAAATGACTTATTTAATTTCGGAATGTAAAATGTTGGAATAGAGATGAAATGTGTGTGTATTTTAAGAGATATACTTTTCTTTCTTTTAAAAATTGAAGAATTTGACACGGAATAAATGAGTGGGATTTTATCGGTCATAAGGCAGATAGATGGTCAAATATATAACGTTAAAGTTTGAGAAAACGCGTCAGCAATATATCGAATATAAACCCGAAGAATTTAAATCTGCGCATTCTAAAATTAGAAATACAGCACATAGCAGACTGCTGATGATTATTTGTCGCAGAATTAAATTTTAATCAGGCGGGATCTAAGAAAATGAAGAACCTTTATTTGCACGTTTTAGTCAGCCGTTACTTCACGTACGTATCTCACGATCGTTACTAAGTAAAAAATAAATAAATAAAAAAAATATTTAAAAAAATAAAAAGGACAGCATCCCTATTATAGTGCATTCGATTCATACCAAACAATTTCGCTCAACAGATATATATCTTCCCCGTTTGATTATAAGTTAAATAAACAATCTTTCATGCGATCGTTTCGCGCAGCAATCGGTTCGATACGGCGCATTAATTCTTACTGCTAATTAGTTTTAATAAGCATCTAACACAGTCGCATTTCTCTAAACCGCGGCCGATTAATGGGACGGAATTAATTAGTCGATCGAGATGAAGAAAATGATCGGCCAACATTAGCAAAACTGCCGCGCCGGCCGGTGCTTTCTTAGAGCCGTCGGCAAAGTCAGGAAAAATTCCGTAATAGTGTAATTAACTGCTGGCAATGAGCTACGGTGAACTCGCGCGCGAACGAGGACATTGCACTATCGTTCATTAACTCAGAAACTCTGTGTGTTTCGAGATTAATATAAAGTTAGAAGGCCGTAATCGGCCTTCCATGTCACCATTCGTTTGCAATTAGAGACGTATGAATTAACAAATATAAAATTAGAAAAATAAAAAAAGAAAGGTTCCGCTCAGTGTCCTCGCACTTCGGAATTGTAATACACAGTTTTATGAGTTGCTCTTTAATTAATGATTTCTAATGATTGTAATTAATTTTTAGTTGCTTCGTATACATATCGTATCTTTTACTACCATATTATGTGCCGTTTCTATATATCGGTGCATTAATCTCGTAACCGGAGTAAAGTAGGGTAGAGTACATTATAATGACTCTGCTATATGCCCTACTCTATTTAAGTATCTAACTATTCATTAAATTAAATTATTATAATCTGCTTGCCATTATTGGAATCACTATATTAGAGTAAAAGCAGAAAGTAAAGTGGCATGCTAATAAAATAAAATTTATCTCGATTATAATAATCTAATATCGACAGCAATCTCATATAAATGTCCCACATTCTTTCGTCTCGGAGTGACTTCAAAGCCGCTGAAGAATGGCATTGGTTACTCTAATCCCAAGATATTATAGACGACCGATATGTTAATTTATAATTAAGATGATCGGCTTACCATGAGCTTCTCTCGATCCAGTTGAGGCAGATCGCTGCCTTTGATGTCCTTCGACTTGAACACGTCCGCATAGCGGTACAGATTTAGGGCTGACATCCATTCAACTACGTTTAGTGACGTCCACTCACTGACGGGCTGTGAACAGAGAAACGAGACGTAGATTGTAGGTGGACATCGATGGCACGAGAATCAGCGGCGACTATTAATCGAGCCAAGTCCACTTGCGCACACGAAGAGGATCACGCGCATTTACATAGCCGTGTTACTGGCTATCATCCCGGCTAAATTGCGCGAATTGTAAAAAGATCAATCAAAATCAAGTGGTGCAATCGAAGCTTTTGGGACGAATAAAATAACGCAATCGTTTCCTCTAGTAAGAATAATAATTATAATATTATGTAAATGTGTATATATAAGGTGCCTTATTTCAAAAGTTCATTCAGAATCTTGCACAAATGTGTGAAATATCCATTTTTTCTATTGGAGAAAATCTGAATTTTCACACAACATCACTGTTTATTTGTTTCCCCCTTTTAGAATAATTACAAGAGCAAAATTCTCTCTTAGAATTTACCCTGAAAATCATTAATATACCTATCACAAAATAAGATCAAATATGTTCGATTAATTGTACACGATATACGTAGTAAAATTTCCCATGTATGTATATTAATATTTTTTATTGTGATAAATATTAATTAGAAAAACTCTGATAAAATATCATATATTGTCTTACGATTAGCACGATTTTCAGGGTAAATTCTTTAGAGAAAATTCTCTCCGTGCATTATAAAGTAAATATTAAAAGCATTAAACTCCAGTTTTGATAATGAATAAAGAATTATCCGAGAAGAGCATGAACGCACAGTGAATCGTGTAAAGTCGTCTTTAACGCGCATGATTAATCGATTCTTTGCAAGCGGAAGCAGATAATAAGCCGGAGCGTTCTGTCCGCCAGCTAATATACACACGCGCTTATTATCTTCGGGATTTTCAAATGAGGACGTGTGGCAATTTTCCGGCTTCGCCACGATCCATGGAAACTTGTGTTTTTATTCTTGGCAAAACCGTCATGTTAATTCCTTTCTAAATCCATGATTCTAGAATCGTTTTATAGAACCGATTCATGTAGCAAATTGAAGTAATCGCTAATTGGTCGAATTAGGAGAGTGAAAGTTGGAATAATTTAGATCTCTTCAGACGTCTAATTTCAGATGTCTCTAATATTTCCTCGGTAATAAAAAGCAATGAATCAGATTAACCCAGTAGTTTGAATTTTGTTATTTTTTAATATTACGAGCATTGCATTTTAGATAAATAACTGAAATATTATTTATGAGTAATCTAATTGGAATAATACTTAACATTTACGATATAACTTTCAAATAATCTCGTTATTAGAAACATATATTGTCTCGTAATCACGATAACATCTCGATTCAATTAAGATATTTTCTATGTATAAGGAATTTTAGCAAGTTTTATCATTCTTGTGTAATTACCTCTGCAATAAACGTATCAATTTTTTTCAAATTTAATTGAATCACTTATATTTGCTTTTGTATATGTACAACATTACGATTTGATTATGATACAAGCTATCTCTATTATGGCGCGCTTCAGAGAACACAACCATAATCATATTTCTCCTCATCATTATACAATCATTTAAGTGGAAACTAAATTGCTTCAATTACAAAATCATGTTGCTATTTCTTCTGTGTGTGTGACTGAGAGTTTTCAAAATTTAATTATTCTCAATAAGAGCTTTCTATAACACGTATTAAAAATTTATTTTATTTCTCACTCATTCGAATTAAAATAAATAAAAAGATAGATATAATTTAAGGTAGTAGATATTAAACTGACTACACTGGCTGTCTATTAGATTTGTTAAACTATATTTATTGACGTTTCGACCATACGGGCTGTGGTCCTTTTCAAAATTACAATAGAAGCATTCTAGAAATTAATGTACATGCAATCAGAATCAACATTTAAATTGAAAACGTGAAGTGTAACAAATGAGACTTACAATGAGTTACTGCATATCGTTATTGACATTTAAAAGTACGCTCCGGTGAGACTTAACTTAAGATCGGATGGTAAATTAACTGCGTTTCACTTGTGTCATCTTGCCACGACTGAGCACACTGTACTAACGAATAAACACGCCGAAAATTATGTCAAAGTTAAAAGTTAACAATATTTACATTCTCGCTAAATTGTGATGTACCATATGGCAAATTACTAAAATAAAATATAAAAAATAAAAAATAAAAAATAAAATATAGAAAGTATAAGATAATAAAAAGATAAATAAATAAATAAATAGATATATTCGGTTCGCTTATGTCATCCTGCCTTAACATACCAATAATAAACTACTAATAATAGCTCCCAACAATGTATGTTAAAAATTTTTTACTTCAATTTCTAAACAAACTGTCATATATCGTACTAAAGCTTTCAGTGTCTTTCTGTAAATTGATAGTGGAATTCAATTTCTTGATAAAGTACATTTCGGCTATTTCTCTTTTTCTTCTATTGTTTTCTTTATGCAGAATTAAAGGATTCGACCAATCAAATTCATGTCCTTGATTAATTCTGTGCTCACTAACAACAGAAAAATTGCTCGCTGAATTTTTAATATTACGTCGGTGTTCGTTAATCCTAGTACTAAGATGTCTTTTTGTCTGCCCTACATAATTAGAATCACAATTGTTACAGATATAATTTAAATCAGTCAAATAATTCAAAAATTTTATTAAATTTTCATCGAATAGAAAATTCAAATGCCAATGGTCTTTATTTAATTATCGGTGAGCAATAAAGCTCTGGAGGGTAATAAAAGCCAGACACACATGTGCAATATCATTAAATACAATTATAACATTATGTCCATCGTCGCACTAATCTTCTATGATCGATAATTATGATTTCACTTAATGATTATTTAATGTACACGCGCGTAATACAGTGTTTAACACGTGCTTAACATTTATTATTATTATTATTATCTAGCTTTGTAAAAAAAAGTGATAAAAAGAATGAAATGTTTCTTGTTGTTTCTTCTTCTCTACGAATGATTCTATTCTCTCTCTAGACAAGCCGCTATTGTTATCCGGGTGTCAATCGGCGAAGATTACGTAAAAGTCAAGCGCGCGCATCATCGGGAGGAGCATCATCTCCCGATTTTCTCGATCCCGAAGATACGCAGCGCGTCGAACACAAATGGTGCGATTTAACGCAACCACACACGACCGGCCAAGTCCGATTAGATAAATCGATGGATTGCGATCGCGGAGGCGCAGCGAGACGAAGAGAAGAGACGTCTCCGGCTGTCGTTATCGGGCAACGCGGACCCGATAAAGCATGAAAAAAAAGAAAAAGAGGAAAAAGCGCGGAAAAAAGAAAAAATAGCCAACTTCCCCAAGTCGTAACCCCGAGTCCGCGATCGTGACGACAGTGACGCGAGATAAGACCTCCGTCCGTCGTCCTCTCTCGTCCGAATAATTTACGTCGGCCGCAGCAACGCGTGTATATTTGCGCGTCCGCTCGATCGACACGCTCGGTTAATCCGCGCCGAGATCATTTCTTCTCTTCCTTGCGCTATATATCCCACGGATCGCCGACGCTGCGAATTTTTGCGACCCGATCCGTCATGAGGCTCTATAAGAGAGACGAGGAACTTATTTCGCGGAAGTTATCACCTCCGCGATGGAAATCCTACCGCAGATAGAATGGCATGCAAATGGGAATGATTTTATTATAGAGATACTTCCTTCTTTCGAGAACAAAAAAAGTTGCATAATAATCAATAATAAAATCGCGGTATTCGGAGTTATATTTAAACTCGCGCGTGGGATGATTAAAGAAAAATCGCTACGATCTCAATAATTTTTAGATATAGTCGTAAGAAATGATTTTTATCTGAGTCATTAAACTTGATCGATAATATCTGAAACCCGCGAGAATGTATGTTCTGTTCTTAATATAATGTCCCCTTATTAAGTTTTACGCTGCAATTAAATGTAAATGCACCAGACTAACTTCATTTAATCTGTTCATCTGTGACACAGACATAGTAGCATATCGTTTTGTATCGCTGCAAAAGGCTTATTTCAGTTTTCTTAAATTACGATGGTTAAAAGATTTAAAAGGCAATTCATCTTGTGCGCTTTTCATGTTTAAATGATTGATTTCATTATAACTTTCACTTATCGATTTTCATTCGATTAAGCAGAATAATAAGATGCAATTTATTTACATTACATGATTAAAAAATATAAAAAAAATTATTAAACTTACATACTTTTATAATTTCGTGTAATTTATATTTTTGCAAGAAATCAATATTATAAATCTTCTTTCAATATCCTTTATTACTTTATAAGTTTGTACTATGCCGCGACATTATTAAATTTAAAATTTTATCAATTTTATCTACTATTGCGCTAATAACAAATGATTTTGGTTTATAAGAATAATTTTAGCTCGAACAAATTAGAATGATTTTCTTCACTGTATTTCCATCTTTCGTAAAAAAGGAACAACGTTTCCTCGGATTCTTCGCTTTTTTCCCGACTCAATTTCATGACGAGCGCCGTCGAATTTAGATTACTCCATCGAGCCTTGGGCAAGTCTCGCCCTGATAACGCCACTCGCACGTTTATGTAAAATTCGCGACTAGATACGCGCCTCGGGATAGACTTTCGTAGCCGGCAAATAGCGGCAATGCTATGGAAATCGCATACCTGGACAGATTCAGGCGATTCGAAATTGGAACAGTTAGCTTCTCTTCTTATCGAGACGGGTATAACAGGAAAAAAATCGTTTAGTTTAACGCTCAGGAGATTGTTGGAACCATCAATTGTTTAAATAAATCGAAAGAAATCTTTAAAATTCCATGTAAATAATATACTAATATAATTGTTAAAAAAAATTAAAGAGAATGATTAAAGAGAAAGAAAGATGAAAGAACTCTTTAAAAAAATATAAAATTTTGTTACGATAAAAATATTTCGTATTTTGTGCAATATCAATTTTACGTGTATTATAAAAATTTCCTGCATTCGCTAATGCCTCAATAACCATGAGATATATAAAAAGGAAATCCTTATTACACACACACACACACACACATATACCGGAAATAATTTCCTTTGATCTCGAAATTTTTGCGCGTGATTGTCTCGATATAGTTTTAAATTTTTTTGTTGCGATGCCTGGAGTTTCAGCGTTGAATATTGTAATTTTGCCTTGAGCATTGTACGAGATTTCTGTACGCTTTTGTTTCGCCAAACTGTGATAGTGCATGCGCAAAAGATAATTCGATCATGTCAAATTCCTATGTGAAACAATGTGTTGCAAGACAAGTCGATTTACGTTGTAAAAATTCTACTGGAAATATTCGAAAACTGCTCTAAAATATAATAGATTTCTTACGGTGAATATTTTTACATTATTTTTAAAATCTGCATATTTAAAGGCGTAAAAAAATATGTTTTTAGCAACATGATTCGGATCGCACGACATTCGCTCTGCTAATTGACAAAAATAATTACATCCCTTACATTCCCAAAGGAAACAAACATTAGGTCGTTGCATAATTTCTATAGAATTTTGTATGCTTTGACAAGTAACAAATTATTAACTTTGTATTTGAATCTGAGTAAAAATGCAATTGCGGCTACAAAAGATTCGTGCAATACATAAGAAGAGAAAACGTCAAAAGAATCCAAAGATGGTTCTCAAAATTTCGAACTGAAAACTCGAATCTCGAAGATGAATCGCGAACTTGAATGACAATGTTCTAAAAGCCCTACTTTATGAACATCTATTTTGGAATTGATAAGCAGTCAATAAATAATAGGCAATGTTTCTAATGAAATTCATGTTCGATCCGACAGAAAGAATGCAACGACCTAATACACGAGCTATGACCCGATTCGCATGCGGACGTAATGTATAAGGAGAAGGAGCGATTACTGACCTTGTCCTTGTCGTGAACCTGGCCGGGTAGCGCGTGACCCTTGGTAGACCATTGGCACAGGTGCTGGCCGCTGTAGTCCGAACACACGATGTGGAAGCACGCATGGCACTCTGCGGGACATAGAGAACCGCACATGCAGCAGCATAGACTACTACTACTACTACAATTATCATCGCGCACCGTTCGTTTGAACCCTTCGTACGAGGTAGCCGCGCCGCTCTTGCCGCCCTTATTACTCGCGCGATCGTTCGCGTCGACGGCCTCCGCCGTGCCGCACCAACACATATACCGATGAAAGGACACCAGCCTCGCGCACACCAACTTGGGGAAACCAAGCTCGCCCTCGAGGTCCTCCACCGACGTCGTCGAGTTCGTCGTACGCGATTGCAACTGCAACTGCGGTTGCTGCAGAGATTGTTCCTCGAGGGTCGCCGCTGCTCCCTCTCGATGCTGCCTCGTCACCTGGTTACTGTTACTGGCGGTGTACCACCTGGGTGAAACGTACGTCGCCGTCGATCTTGACAGCTGACCGACGTTCACGTGGTCGCTGTTATTGCCGTACGTCGCCAGAATCGACGACCCGTTCGCCGATCCTATGGCGAGACTCTGCATCTGCCGTTGTAGCTGCACGCTTGCGGTACCGTTTAACGTCGTCGACGACGACGTCGACTGCGATGACGAGGAGGCGGTGGACGACGGCGTTGCGGCGCCGTGGCTAACCGACGTTGTCGCCGTCGCGGCGCCCTTACGCAGCATGTAGTTGTCGGAATCGACGGCCAACAGTCGCGACATCGCCGTAGACTTAGTTTTATTGTTCTCGTCGTTCGTTCCTGGGCTGATCTTCGGCGAGCCCTTCGGTTCCAGCCAGGTGGAAATCGTCGTGATTTGTTTATCTTGCTCGTCGATCGAGGAACCGCACGCACTCGTCGTCGTTGTTGTCGTCGTCATCGACATCGGTCCCGGAGCGAACAACTCCTGGACCCTGGCCTGGTGATGCACCTGGGTCGCGGCGGCCGTGGCGGCCGCAACGGATGCGCTCGTCACACGTTTCATCGTCACTGTAGCCGATCATCAAGCGAGACGGCTAAGTTTTCCTCGACGAAGTCGACGTTGTCGCGACCGACGCGTTGCCGCTCGACCCGGGCGAGTCCCAGGAGTCCTGCTCCTTCCGCGGGCTACCCAGGTCCCTTGACATTTTCCTTTTCTTTCTTTCGAGCCTTGTCTCGAGATTCTCTCCGTTCAGTCTGGTTATGCACTCTGATCGATTGCGACGCTTGAAAATGTTGGAAACACTTTTGGATCTTCAACGCGCGCTTTAATACAATTCAACGTAACGTCCCTATTTAAATGTAATTCACGTACAACGTTCATCTCTTTCTAGAAAATGGTTTTAAGTTTTATTACGTTTATTAATTATTAAACCGATTTCATGCTGTCTCTCGTGTGTGTAATCCAAAGTTTCATTTATTTTACTAGCTAATTCTGGCATCGATTGTAGAATACGATTTGACGGCATAAAATTCTTCTTATCGTAAGTTTTCCTGGCAAGTTATGTCTGATCTTAGGTATTCTAAAGACCTGAGTATCTTCACTTTTGTTGGCAAAAATTCATTCCTTTTGCTAAATCCCTTGGACTTTGTGTCATTGAACTGCTTCATTATCTATCTTCGTTTCGCCGATTAATTCTTCGCACGACGATCCGAGACAGAATTCTTCAAGGCCGTTGCAAGTATGGCATATATTTATCCGGCCGATTGATATATCGAAGCGGTATCGTTCTCTCGTCGATCGAGATCTCGATTCTTTAAGGATCCTTCAACGTGGTCGACGTCTGGCCGTCTGATTTTCGCTGTTATCGCACAGATTTCGTAGTTATTACGAGCAGAGGTAACGCGAAGGATCAAATGATAGATGAACAGAGGGGAAACGGAAGGAGAGAGAGAGAGAAAGAGAGACAGATAGAACGAGTTACAAGGAGAAGAGCGAGTAAGAGAGAGAGAGAGAGACGAAGATACAAAAAAAGGAGAGAGAAAGAGAAAAAAGAGAGAGAAAGAGAGATAGATAGCCGCTCCCGTGGGTGTGACCTCGTGTAAATTCGTTTTCCATAAATCTCACTCCTACCACTCTCTCGTGGTCGCGCGTTCAGCGCGCTCTCACACACGACCGTTGTATAAACGCCGAGACTTGCCGAGCCGAACGAAACCGGTTTTGTCAAGCAACGACACCGAACGATTTTCAAGCGTAGCGCCGCACGAGTGCGAGAGCGTACAGACAAGATGATCTTCGTGGTCCTATCGAGAGCGCGATCCGGAGTAAATTCCAAGGATTATCCTGGGAATCGTCCTGGACGAATCAATCGAGAAAACCGGCACCGCCTAGGATTATTCCCCTAGCGATTAATAATGGTGGATCGAGACTCCGAAGCGCGAGTCTCTATCTCTTCGTTCGTCACCGTTCACTTCGTCAAGATCCAGGACTTTTGGTCATCTTCTCAAAGAGCCAGCATCGAACAGTGTGTACACGTGAAAATCGGCGAGTCTCCTCTTCTTGGTTCTCGTTGAAAAGCAAAATTGGCGCACCGGGTAGTGTGGAATAAGACGATCGGAACCTTTCGTGCACGATGTGCGTAAACGTGAAAATTACTCGCGGATAATTGAAATAATCGCGGACACTAATAAGCGTTAAAGCAGCCAGCTCCCGTGTCCGCCGAGTCAGCGGCTCAACTCAACTCGAGATGGCGAGCTCTGCTTATCGCCCGGGTTCGCGCTGATCAGCAAGTAGATGATCCTCTCCTCGCCTCGTCGCATTGTCCGCCGAACGGAGCGAGTGAAACGTGGGTCGCCTCTAATGTCCCTCGATATGCCCGATTTAATGTCGGTCGCGAATTCAGCCCGATCATGTAGCGCCGGATGGACCATCAAGGACATTCGGTCCTGTTTCCTTTCTTCCTTTTGGCTTCCTCTCCTGCTTTTCTCTCAGCGATTAAATCCACGTAGCGCCGGATCGCTAACCAAGGATTCTTCTTGCGTTCTCTCTCGGATATTTCTCCCCGTTTCTTCTTTATTCTCTTCACTTTCTCCCCGGTTCTCTCTTGGTTTCTTCAGTTTCCTTCGGTCCTTCAAGTAGCAGCGCGATTCGTAACACATGTAGCACCGTATGAAATTTTCGATCCGGAGAATATATGACGGGTCGCTGAATAGTTGCCGATTCGCTTCTTCGTTCCTTTCCTTCTTTCTTCCGTCCTCCCGCAACTCGTTCTCGCACGGTCGACCGCTTTGCTCGCCGGATCGCACCACTCGTCCTTATCACGTCCGCTAGAAAGCCGCGACTGCCAACAGCCGCGCTCGTTCACGAACGCTAGTGTCTCGCTGGATCACCGCCACCGTCGTCCCAATGCTTTACCGACCGCGAGTCAACGGCGAAGTTGGAGTTCGTGTGTACCAGGTTGGTTGGCTGGTTGGTTGGTTGGTTGGTTGGTTCGCTCGCTCACTCTCTCTATCTCTCTCTGTCACTCTTTCTGGCTTCTTCCCTCCCTCTCCCTCTCTGTCACTCTATCTCTCTCGGCCGGCAAGGTAGACCTTGGTGGCGGACGATCCTATTACCTCCTCTTCTCTCGGTCGACGAGTCGTGGTTGTTTCCATCCGGTAAAGCCGTCTACGTAGGTATATCCTCTCGACGTCGGCGCCACGACGTCCACCTCCTGGTTCCTTCTCTCTCACGAGGATATCAACTACAATCTTCTTTTTTCCCTTTCTCTTTCCCTCCTCACACTTGGCGCGCGAAGGAACTCCTCTACAAAACCGAGTTAGCTGCCCTTCCGAGTGCCCTGCCTGCTTTCCCTCGTTTCCCCTCCCGCAGCGAAATCATCATGTGGATCGTAAAGAGAGAGAAGAGTCGGTCGGTCGATCGCTCGGAATTCTCGTCCGTCCTCGTTCGCAGGTACACAGGCCGAAAACTCGCCGGTGTCTCTTTGCAATCGCGAAGGCGGCGCACGCACTCTCGCACAAATACATGCACGTAGAAAGAGAGAGAGAGAGAGAGGGAGAGAAGAAAGAGAGAGAGAGAGAAGAGGAGAAAGAGAGAGAGAGAGAGACACGTATACACGGACGGACAACACGTACGCACGCACGCACGCAGTTCTTCTTCGGTATGGAAAAGTCCACAGAGCGCTGCACTTTTTGCAATCGGCGGTCTACCTGCGCTACGCGCACACACCTGTACACGTAGCGGTGGCACACACGTCACTCACCGCACATAGGTATATATACAACACCTATCTATCCTGGACTATACCTCTGTCCCTGTTTCATTCCGCGTCTCTCCCACACTCGATCTTTCTCTTTTTATCTCTCCCTCTCTCTCTCTCATCCAACGTCCCCTTCCACGTTTGTCTCTCTTTCTCTCTCTTTCTTTCACTCTTTCTGTCTCTTTCCTTCTTTCCTTCTCTCGCTCTTCCTGGATCGCTCGTTGCCACTCTCTCGTTCTCTCGTGGGTTCGTCTCCGTGTTGGCCGTGCACAGCCGGTCGGTCTCTACATGTCGAGTGTTGCCCGTGGGCCAAGATCCTCCTTCTCTTTTTCTCTTGCTGCGCTTCGTCTGGTTTACTCTCCTACTCCGACTGTCTTTATCTTTCGCGGCGGTGTATAGCGAACGGATCGTATACGCTTTGGGCTTTCACTCGGACCGATCCACCAACGACGACGACGACGACAACGACGATGATGATGATGGGACCAGGCACGGTCTTTCTCTCTCTACTCCTGATTCCACTTGCTGATATATAGCTGAGAACGCGCAGCCACAGATCCAAAGCGAGAGAACGGTCTTCGCGAGCATCACCACCATTCGCCGTTTGGATTCCTTTCTTCTCCTGGATTCTCCTGGCCGACTCCACCTCGATCCGACTGGACGGACGGACACGTTCGCTGCTCCGGTTTCTTCGGATTTCCCTCTCTCTCTTTTTCTCTATCGCCGGCCTGACGAACGACGACACCGTCTCCTTTACGTGGACGGCTTCTTCTTCCTGGTCGCGTAGGAGAATACCACACCGCCGGCGAAGCGCACAGCTGACCGGCCGGTCTGCCAAGCTCGGTCAATAGCCATAGCCAGTCGTGAGCTGCTGCCGAGGGTAGCTCGTGGCTCGGCGCAACCACACCTCGGCCATCTCCGACACTTGTCGGCTCTTCTCGTGGCCTTTACGATGGCAGACTCGTACCGGGATGACGTTGGTGCCCCGAACCGTACCTCATTCGGCCCGATCGAATCGTTGGAATAAAAATTTCCTGCCGAACATTCCTAGGCGACGAGCGGATCGACTGAGCTCGAACTACCGTGAATACGCTCGGAAATTATCCGCTTCGAAACCTATATTGATAACTTCTGGGAGTTTCCGTAGTTCTTCCTATAGTGTCGGATCATTTGCGATGATCTTGTGAATTATTACCGTAGGAATCAGCGGAGTGACTTCTGTGACGATAACAATCGCATGGATGACACAAATTTGCTTGGTTCAGATTTGGATTGATCGAAAAGTACCTGATATTCCTGGTGTCTCCAATCTTAAAGACTAAAAAGCAACCCTTGAAATAATGAAAAGGAGATGGATGAAAATAATCTATTGGATGAAACTTGTTTGGTCGTTATAGTTTTTCGAGACACTATAGGAACTTCTCTTCTTACTTGCTGAGGATTTTAAAACCGTGGTTTTTCGAAGCTACAATAATCTTCTTTTTTTTCGCTACCGTATCCAGTTAAACCACAGTAAGAAGTCGGTAAAATCGATTCTGGAATGTTGAAAATAAGATGCTTGATTATGCGAACGCGTTGTGCTTGAGATGCATGCACAGTCGTGCTTTAAATGGAACTTCGCTGCGAATTTGCTGACATGCTCCGAAGGTCTTTGTCTCTGTGGCCAGCTCCTGTAGAAGAATCAAAGCCGAAGATATTGGAGCAGTTTCGAGGTCGAATTCGTCTTGTCGCCCAGGTTCAACTGGGATGTCAATAAAGAGAATAAGTTGATGTGTCTCGACTTCTTTGTCTGTGTTTTTCGGAATGATCATTTTCTTTTGATAGAAGATTTTTAATAAAGAAGAAGAAAGAAATTAATGCTACTCCAAGTTCTTTCACGATGACAATTTTCTTGAACACATAAATTCGATCGCAAATGGAATGTTATTATGTGAAAAATTCCTCGTTTTGATATCCAGATCTTCAATGATGAGGTTTAAAATATTCGGCGTTCTCCTTATATCTTCTTATCGATTTTTCGACAAAATTGTTAAGTATCTATTTTCGAAATTGGAATTGTATTGTTCTTCACGATGAGATTAATCGCTTCGTCGTTGATGACTTCGTACATGACAGCTTTGACGACGAAAATTCCATTCGTCTAAATGCGAATTTTTAAACTCGTAGCTGGATTTTTTTCTCGAATTATTTAACGAAACAGCGGCGGGCGCGCACGAGAAAACCGCTTCGCAACGGATATTGATCGGGCAACGAGAGCGAGCGTTGACATGAATTTTATAGTTAACATGGCACGCATGGCTGGCGGAGGTTGATAATGCTCAATCAAATCCAGGCGTCATTAATAATAAAAATAAAAATAAATAAATCCTGGAAACAAAAGCGGACAATTTTCCTCCCAAATTTATATAAAAAAAAGAACTGATAGATATTTCTATCGCGCACAAAAAAAAAAGTTTTCGTGTTTAAATATGTTATATTTCGCGCACACAGAATAATAAAAAAAACTTCGACTTAAATTTAAACAATTTTGTGATTGTCAAGTATTTCTTCAAACTACAATGTTTAGAAGATCAGAAACAGCAACATTTAGAATAAAAATTTATAGTACGAGTATGTAATAATAGTACGACAAAAATGATAAAGAACTACGCTTATTATATGCAGCGTATGTGTGAAATATTGTCATTTTAATATTTCATAAAACCTACGAAAACATCTTTACAAGATACACATTGTCCGCTTTTATCTGGCATGATACTTGGATCGATTGCCTAATATATGATGCGATCGGAGCGATTAATGAAGAATTATCATCGAATCGTGGTCTGTTAACTTCACTCTTATCTAACAATAAGACCAGCTGCGATAAAGGACCGAACACTCGTCGAGAGCATCTGTCGCAATTGTACTAGCTCGCGTATATGTATAAGGATCATTATTAAATAGATAATATAACGATCGCGTAACAAGAAAATAATTTTCGTATATAATTATTAGATGATTAATTCTATTACGTAAATCGACATAATCGATTCGCTGCTCTTTGTTCGAAGCGTTCGATCCTTTTCGTGAAATTCATTTGTGTCAGACAAAAATTCCATCATCGTTGATACAAGTATTAATCTTTGTGACTTTTTAAGGGCATGCTTTATAATTTCAGCAAAGATTAACAATGATAATATGTTGAAAATTCGTTTGGACAGTAAAGAATGTTAAGATTATACTGTCATTTAAATCTTTCATGTTTAACAAATTAAAAAATTCATGTCTTAATTATATTAAAATAAGAAATCCTGATGGTTCGTTTTTTAAGGATATTTCCTCTAATCCCTTTTTGTACAAAAAATTAATTTCATCAATAGTTTTAATTAATTTAGCTTTACTTACTTAGCTTTAATCTACAATATTTCGTGAATAAAAAAAATTATTTGTAATCAAAATAAGTGAAATGTGTAATGTGTAGATGCCAGAAATATTTATTATTTTTCATTCGCGTTTCCAAATTACTTTCAAAAATTTGATGCTGTACATATTGCTGTGGATATTGTATAAAAATAAAAAACAAGTTTACACCTATTGTGAAAAGTTTTGTAGATTCGTATATTTTACGTAATATATAATAAAAAAAAATATATTACGTAACATATGAACAAAAAATATAATAGTACATGTATAAAATATGAAAACACAATAAAATGTTTTATCATTTGGAAAACTATATACCTATTCTATCACTTGGAAAAACATTGATAGAATTTCCGATAAATAATTCGGAGTGATCCGAAAGCTTTGATTTTCCGGGCAGTTGAGCGGAAGAAGGCGAAGACCAGCTAACGAGGCAATTTAAGCCCGAATTTCAAGGATGCCCTCAAAGGGAAATACGAAAGGGCCTTTGATCAGGCCTGCATACTCGATCGAGCGTTAACGTCGATACCTTTCGTCCGCGATCGTTTGCGCGAGGCGTGAGCATTTTTTCACTTTTTTTTCAGGCTGAGCATATATTCTCAATTGCGTTCCCTCGGCCTGCCACACGAGATTCTTTTACGAGCGGACCTGACATTCGCTCTTATCGTAAAAGCGTGCTGCGTGGGATGACGCAAGCGAGCGGACGAAGGGACAGGGAAAGGGACGTGAAAGTGAAAAGCGACTTTCCAAGCCAGCCGGTGCGGCAAAGGGTCCCCGGCGACGAAGGATGATCGAACCCTGCGGGCGAACGCGCCTGCGCACCGCGACAGGCACGTCCTGTTCAAGGTCACAGGGCCGCCCACGCCGCACAGCCGTCCCTTCGCCCAGCGAAGACCCGGTGCCCTTTATTGAAATTCGGCGGATCGATTGTCGTGATTGTGCGAGGAACGCTCTCGACGACCCGCCCTCGACGATCGCGAGCACATGTTTAAATGCGATTGCTCAGAGTCATTAAAACGTTCCTATTTCGAGATCATTCGAGACTTTATATACGAATTATAATACGAATTATCCCCAGAAAAATTATTATAATAATGACGGAGTGTCATTAATTAAACAACGTGGATAGAATGATTTCTTCGTGATACATTATATACATTTTTCTGCTACATATATTTTGTCAGATTTTTTTTACTTAAGATTCCCCATATCATTTTATCAAGTATTTGTCGAATCTCTTAGATATAATATAAAGATTAGAAAACTTTTATAGATAGATACTACGCGGAGGGAATTTTCTCTTAGAATTTACCTTTTAAAATTATGGTAATCGTGGGACAATATGTGGTATTATTAATAAGGAAGAATGATTAATATTTACTACAATAAAAATAAAAATTTGTACATAAAAAAAATGAATCGAACGTATTTTATATCTTATTGTGACTATTAATATTTTTTATTGTAATGTAAATTATAAATATTAATCCGAAAATATTAATCTAATAAAATTCTTCCAATATCATATTGTCCCGTTACCACGATTTTTAGAATAAATTCTAAGAGAAAATTCTCTCTGTGTGTCAACTAATTTTGTCAAGTGTTTGAAAATTAAGTATTTTAATTAAAATTCATAAAATAAATATTTTGCAACATTTCAAATTTAATTTCTTAAATATTGTCTTAATTAAATCCCAGCTAATTGTTTGTATATTTT